GATGTTTTGTGGGAACCAAATATTTATCTTGTGTGTGTAAGATAACAAATTCAGTTTTGTTCCCACAAAATAAAAAAATTTAATCTTTAAGATGATATTTGTATTTTCACTGAGCCCATTATATTCATTTATTAAATCCATCATTTCCCTGTTCCTCACAGTTTGGCACCATACTTTACGACTTGCAGATGAGACCAGAGAGTAACAAAGGTTATGTTCTCTCTGCGAGGACGGCAGCTCGCTTTCCGCCTTGTGGCAAGGTAACGTGTTCCCAAAGCACCCGCAGCAATCTGTACATTTAGTTCAACAGGCGTCCATGATCTGATTTTACACATGAAGATCAATTTAGAAAGATCAGGTGTAATAGAAAGCCTTCAAACTGGGGTCAGGTTCAGGTTCAGGGCAACAAAAGTGAAGATTGCTCCAGAAATAAAACCATGAATTTTTATTTATTTTTTTACTCATCACCAGACTGTGACCCCTTCACCACAGCAGTACCAGAAGGATCACAGCCGGTCCACGATCGTCCCTCCTGGAAAATCACCTTTCAACTCCACCACAGAGAGATTCAAACCCGAAGCATGTGCAGCTGAGGACAGTCCAGGGTAAGAACAGAGAAACACAGTGAACAGTGGCGACCAGACCTGACGGATGTTATTCTGTGCTGCAGGCCTGGAACCTACAAGCCTGACGCAGTGACAAACAGGAAGGTGAGCTGGCCGATGTGCTTCGGACGCCCAGACTGGTCCAGACTGCCGCCGCTGGAAAAGAAGTCACTCAGGGTGAAGGTGGGTGAATCAGTTGGGCTCTCCGCTCCTGAGTTATCGAGCGTAACAGCCGTCGTCCACTTTGAGAACAGCTCTGGTTCAGAAGGGAAGATATCGATTCTCATCTGAGGGAACGATAAACCTTTGTCAGCAGCTGGAGCAGAAACGTGAGCGACACGTAGGAGCCACGTGTTCACAGCAACAAGACTGATTCATCGCCTCTTCACTGTGGGTGACGCTCTACAGAAACATTTACACGTTAATGTCTTTTCTTCAGTTTAAAACGTCTTTGTGATATTCTACTTATTTTCATTTAGCATCCGACTTGTTTGCAAACCCCATGAATTTGTGGACTGATGTCAACATACAGTAGAAATTGGACACGCAGTATTTAAATAGAATTGTTTTTGGTGGCGTCAATTCATAATGATATTTGTTATAAACCATTATTGCTCTTGTTGTTTGACTTTCAGTTACACAGTGAAAGGTCTTTGCTGGAGCAGAGGAGCAGAGTGGCCTACCTGAGTTTGTACTATTAACTCTGCTGGATGAAAACCAACACTGACAGGTGACGGCAATAAAATGGTGTCATGTTCATGAGCCTCGTCAAGTAAAGTTATTTATCCCAGAGTTAAAAAGAAAGAAACTTATTTTTCTTTTATTCACAAAATGACAGAACTCCTGTTTGTATTTTACACTGTGATGCTGCTTACAAACAAATTATAAACAAAGTGAGTGCCTCTAGAAAAAACGACAAAAAATGAGTCAATAGGAGTCAGTTTGCCAAAAGTTCACAGCTGTTCTCGTCCCAGCGTCGAGGAAAAGCAGCCGCTGGTCCCGGCTAACGCGGCGGGACTCAACACCGGGGCGCTTCACTGGACCACTGATCGCACCAACACTGTGGCAAATGTGAGTCTGTTGGTTCAGTTGGGTCCAGGCTCATTTCTTCCTCCTCACTTTGGGTTTCTTGACCGGACGGAGGTACGGGTTGTCGATCACGTTGTCCTCTGTGGCCTTTGCGGAGGGAACAACACCACTGGGAGGAAGCAAAGAGTTTTCTTTGTCGGCTCCTGGATCATCCTGAACGAGAGAGGCGAGACGAGAGCAATCATTATAGAGCAGTTAACCACTCTCACAAAGACAATGATTGATCCTCCATGTTGAGCTCTACACTGGTGGCAGAGGCTGGAGGTCAAATCATTTCCCAACATCTGAGTTTCCTCAGGAAACACTAGAGATAGACACTTACACTGATGTTGTGTCCTGTTGTGTTCTCGCTGTCCGTCTGGTCGTCCTGCTCGGACGAATCCGTCTCCTCCAGAGTTTGCAGTTCCAGCTCAGACGGCAGGAGGGCGCTGAGATACGGGATGGTGCATGGCCGAGCTGCGATCACTGGTAAAACATTCGCGGAGCTTAGAACTCGTCCGAGAAACAACATGTGTTTAATGGAAATATAGAAATGTCAAACCGCTCACATGGGAAGGCAGTGATGTCGTCTTTGAAGAGGCTCTGAGTTTCTCCCGTCTTGGCCATGAAGCGTGTGAGAGCTCGCTCCACGTCTCTCCTCTGTGTCGCTGCCTTCTCTCTCACCACTTGGTAATCTGACACAGGCTCTCTGAATGTCTGCAGAAAGAAAAAATAAAAGACTTAGATTTTTATCTGCCACACAAACTGAGGTTTGATGCAACAACTGGCACAAGAAGAGACACAACATGCTCTTTAATGGATTCTACTTCATCTCCTGAGAACAGTTGGGACTCACCGGTGTTTTGATGTATGTGTGAGGGTCAGGGAATTCTGGGAAGTGACTTGGGATGTGAGCTGGATGTGTGCGTTTCTGTCCGGCTGACAGCGCTCTGGGAGTCACAGGCTGGTTCGTCACTGGAGCTACAATTCCAAAAAGTAATTTGTCACAGTTGAAATCAATAAAGACAAAAACTACTTTGATCCAGTTATGATATTCAAGCCTATTTTAATAACATATAACTTTTGACACCTACAGTGGAGAGGACAGCGCCTACTTACGTGCAGTTATAACCATCCGCTGTGATCGTTTTGCATAAACAGGCAGCGTGTCCACATTGAAACCTGCAGTGACACAAACAAAATGATGTCATTGATATTTCATCATGTCAGCGATCTATATTTCATGTGTCTCCTCCGGGACTTACCCATTTCAATGAGTGTGACCACCGTGTCCGACAGGGTCGGAACGCTTCTGGCCGTGTGTTCACAATAAGCTTTAGCACAACGACCTATTTCACTTATATCTGCAAAGAAAAGACAAAACGCTGTGTTTCAGAAAAGCCTGTTAATGATCAGTGAACATTTAGCAGAAGTGGATGAGGAATAAAGGATGAGTGTAAAACAACGTTCGCATCAATCATTAAAAATATGACTCATGTTGCTTCTTTATATAAACACTCTCTAGTTAAGACACCAAATTACTGATCTACAGGTTCTGTAGTCACTCTGTGAATGGATCTGTCTTTTTTTTTCTCTTCTCGGCAATATCTCAAAACGACTTTGTGATGAAGTGCAGGAAACAAATTATGAGAGAAATTATAGCACGTTAGTGTTTGGTAACATCTTGCTAACTGCTAATAGTTAGCAAACACACAACACAAATATTCAAATACGAAGCTCCCAGTAAAATGGACGTGGTTTATCCTCAGTGCATAAAGACATCACTTCAGGATTCAGACTCACAGCTCTGCATCATCTCAGTGAGCGTCTCCACCGCCGCCTTCTCTGCGCTCTCGAAGCCACACTCGGTCAGTAGGGCGCTGACAACAACCTGCAGGGTGCGGCGTCGGGCCAGGTGGTAGTTCTCTGCAGGGCTGGAAGCTGCTTTGCTGCCCCCCCCACGCTAAACACACAAGAAAACACACCGTAAAGAAACCAACACGACATTGAGTTCAAATGATTCCATCTATATCAACCAATCAGGCATCAATCACATGTTGATGAGGTCAGACCAGTCTCAATATTCACAAATGTGCACAGAAGGATTCACAAATACAATGTGAAAAAAAATCACAAATACAAATAATATATTTCTACATGTGTGTGTGGGTTTATCTATTAGTGTGTATTTGTGTGTGGATCACTACGTGTGTGGGTTTTTTTTAGACTCCCCTGATGTAGCTGGATTCACAAATGCATTTTATGGGACACAGACCTATCTGTAGCCCATCTTCCTTTAACTCACTGCTGCTTATATTAAATAACTCCTGGTTATTGTCACTAACTCCTGGTTGTTTAACTCACTCGCTGTTTATCTTAACTAACTGCTGGTTGTATTAAATAACTTTCTTGATTCTTGTTCTGATTTCAAAAAGTCAGATAAATGCTGCTGTAACAACAAGAGCTGCTAAAACAATTTTCACTGTTTTAATGTTGGTGACAATGTTGAACACTGACAATAAAGGATTCTGATTCTGATAACTGCTGGTTATATTAAATAACTTCTGGTAATCTTAACCCACTCT